AAAAGGCAGTGTGGGTGGGGCGGGGTTGACTAAGTGTCATATAGTTTGATATGACAACCAAATTATAAAATAGGATATTGGAACAATGGGAGAAATGTAATGACACCTGCTTCCTAGATGTGATTAAATTCGTGTTGTTTTCCTAGGTGTGATTGTGACATTGTGGTTCTGTAGGGGAATGTCCTTGTCCTTAAGAGTTGCACGCTGACGTATTAGGAGCCGAAGTGTCATGATGTCATGTATGGGGGAGGAGAGAAATACAGCAACATGTTAGCAAATGATGAATCTGGCACAGCGTGTGCAGAAATTCAGCCTTTCAACTTTCTGATAGACTTGAAAGGTTTCAAGTGACGAGAAAAATTGAACAAAAAAATGAAAGGTACGCAAACGATATGTATGTTTCAAATTAATTTAATGTAATTATCAAATGGCAAAATAGTCACTGTTGTCACAGTGGTGCTAGTGAGAGATTGAGGAAGGAACGGGAGCAGACATCCTTGAGGCAGGAAGGCCAGGTGGGAAGTCACTGCAGAGTCAGTGAGTGAGTGAGAGGAGCCAGCGCGAGAGATGAGACAGGAGATGGGTTGAAAGAACACTGAGGAGCCCTAACAGGTTTGGCTCAGTGGATAGAGCGTTGATCTGCGGACTAAAAGGTCTATGGTTCGAATCTGGTCAAGGGCTTTTGTCTTGGTTGCAGGCCTGCGGAGTAAAAGGTCCCAGATTCGACTGTATGCCTTGGTGGCAGGCACATCCCCAGTATGTGCAGGAGGCAGCTGCTTGATGTTTCTAGCTATCTGTCTCTCTCCCTTCCTCTCTGTAAAAAAAAAAAAAAAAAAAAAAATCAATAAAATATATATATATTTTTTAAACGAACAATTAAGAGTGAAATTGTAGGAATCAGTGACTGAGTGAGGGATTAGAAGGGAGACGTCGAAGAGGATGCTTGGAGGACCCCAGAGGAGGGGGTGCTGTGAACACAGGAGGTGTGGGGTGCCTGTGCACCATCCCCGAAGAGAGCCGCTCATGCACCCCTTCCGTCTGTAAATAGTTTTTGTTTTTTGTTTTTTTTTAATTTATTGGTGTTGTTTTTTTTAAATTAAGGTATTATATGTGTACATGAGGGATGATACTGCCATGCTCTTGTCCTGGGCAAATAGCAATGGACAAAACAGATAAAAATCCCCTGCCTTCATGGAGCCTGTAATCCGTCACTGGGAGGGTGGACCATAAGCCAGCAGTGAAATGGGAGCACGTTGGATGGTGGCGATTGCGGAGACGTGATATATGCGTTGCGGGGTTAGGGGCTGCTGACTGAGTCCCAGGCAAGTGAAGGCGTGAGCCACGTGGGTATCTGGGAGTAGTGTTCCAGGTGGAGGGAACAGCATGTCAGGTGGGGGTGGAACAGCAAGTGTAAAGGCTCCGAGGCAGGAGGACGTCTGGCAAGGAGGCCAGTTAGATCAAGTGAGGTTTTCTAGGCCCGTGGAGCACTTTTGCTGGTACTCTGAGAGAGACGGGGAGGCCTCGGTGTGGAGTTCCGCAGGAAGTGTGGAAAGGAGGAGGGACCCGGCCGGCCTGCACCTCCCGGGCACCCAGGCCTCTGCTGGTATGGGAATGAGTCCTAGGGTGCGTTTCTGCCCATGGAACCGTGTTAACCCAGAGGATCCTCTCCCAGGCTCTGCCCCAGACATTCCCCTGTTTCTCTTGGCCCCCTTTTTCTCGTCCCGTGGCTGGTCCCGCCAGCTCTTGTCCCTAACTTCCTCCATCAGTTTTCTGTCTCCTTACCACCCTCATCCCTCTGCCAAATCCACGTGATCGAGGAGCTCCAGACATTCCTGGAGCACCTACTAAATCAATTAAAGTGCCTTTGACTGCAAGTATGAGGAACACCCATTGACAGCCGCTGCAGCAGCAGGCACGCGGTCACAGGCGCGATGGCGTGGGGAAGGGGGAGAGGAGCCTGTACACAGCTCCATACTTTTAAAAATTAAATAAGCCCAGCTTTCTTTTCAAAGCACACCCTTCTCCAGGACTTCGCTCTGAAAGTGGCTTCGGTTTCCTCCAAGAATGTGCTCAGGAATTTCCCTCTTTGACTCACCCCTGCTGCTGCGCCTTGCAATGAAATGTGCCAGTCTCGGTTTCCAGAAGCCTCTTCTTTTGTCATAAGGAGATTTTAGACTTGGCAACGTGCTAGACAGGGGAGCGATGCCCGCCTTCCCCCATCCCCCCACACTCCTCAGATGAGTCAACACTCATGATTTCTGTGATTCTGGCGTAATCTCAGCCGTTAGAGTAATCGGGCACTCGGGGTGGGAGTGGGCTCAAGCAGACCGACCTGGCCTGTGAGGGCACAGCTTGATCTGCACCATGCAGTGGCATCTGTTATGGCAACTTGCCGGCTCCCTGGGGCCACCACAATAGTCTTTCAAAAGCCCCAGCACCTGTGGTTAAAGAGCATCAGCTCTGAAGTCGGAGATCCTTTCCTCTCAAACCCCTGCTAGCTGTGTGATTTTGAGCAAGTCGCTGAACCTCTCTGAGCCACCATTTTCTCATTTGAAACTTGGGAATAGCAATATATCCACCTGAAAGGAGTAAGAATTAGAGGTTAGGGGAGGGTGGGGGTAAGGGGGAGAGATCAGCCAAAGGACTTGTATGCATGCATATAAGCCTAACCAGTGGACACAGACACCAGGCGGGTGAGGGCATGAGCAGGTGGGGAGGGGGCAACGGCGGGATAAGGACACATATGTAATACCTTAATCAATAAGGAAGGGGGGCCGAAGCCGGTTTGGCTCAGTGGTAGAATATCGGTCTGCAGACTGAAAGGTCTCAGGTTCAATTCCGGCCAAAGGCATATACATTGGTTGTGGGCACATCCCCGGTAGGGGTGTGCAAGAGGCAGCTGGTCGATGTTTCTCTCTCATCGACGTTTCTAGCTCTCTCTCTCCCTTCCTCTCTGTAAAAAAATCAATAAAATATAGTAAAATAAATAAATAAATAAATAAATAAATAAATAAATAAATAAAATAAAATAAAAAATAATAATGAAGAAGTGGGGAAAAAGAATGAGAGTTTGTGCCTAGATCAGGGGTCGGCAAATTGCAGCTCACGAACCACGTGGGGCTGTTTGGCCCCTCGCATACAGTGCAATTGAAGCTTTGTGGCCATGCGCAGAAGTCGGTTTTTGGCTCTCAAAAGACATTTCCATCGCTGTCCTGTTGATCGTTGGCTCTGTTGGCTAATGAGTTTGCCGACCACTGGCCTAGATGGTCAGTATAGAGCTGGGTACAAATGAAGCTTTCAGTAAACGGCAGGTAGCCACTGTAGTAGTAGAAGTTGGCTCCTCAGACAGCTCCCTATGTGGGCACCCCTTTCTGGCTTCAGGGGATACATTTGTAAGGATTTTTAGTTGCAAGACACTGAGCCTCATTTCAAAGCGGTTTAAAGGAAAAAAGGGGACTTTATTGGCTCAGCTAGCTGGCTCACCCAGGGGGGAACTGACCTCAGGGACTCGGAGCTGAGATCTTTCTGGTCTGTCTCCCCTCCCTGCACCCCCTCACCCCCAATTCTCTCCTTTGGGAGTAGATGGCCTTCCTTCATGGATAGGGGCTGGGGAGTGGGGTGAGGAGTTTATCATGTGGCCAATGACCATCTAGGCTTATATTATCTCCTAAAGTTAGCTAAATGCATGTCATCTAAAACCATCAATGGACTATAAGCACCTGCAACCAACCTCAGAAGAATCCTGAGTAAATTACTGTGTGGGCTCGATTCTTTCCCAGGAGCAAGAGCGGCCAAGGTCACTGCCAAGGCACTCGGGTTAGCTCCGGGTGCCCGGCCTCTACAGCCTGTCTCCTGGGAAAAGGAAGAAAAGGGACATTGTAGCTGGTTGTTGACACTGAGTTAAGCACCTGAGTCAAAGCCCCATTTGAAGTTTCCCCTAGATCCGTGGTCGGCAAACCATGGCTCTCCAGCCACATGCGGCTCTTTGACCCCTTGAGTGTGGCTCTTCCACAAAAATACCACGGCCTGGGAAAGTCTATTTTGGAGAAGTGGCATTAGAAGAAGTTTAAGTTTTAAAAAATTTGGCTCTCTAAAGAAATTTCGATCGTTGTGCTGTTGATATTTGGCTCTGTTGACTAATGAGTTTGCCGACCACTGGCCTGGATCATTCCGAGGAGTTCTCCCCACACTCCGGTTGAGGAGGACACCCTGGGGTGCTGTGACATCCACCTGTTGTGTTGGCGTCCCTGCGGGTTGTCTCTGTCACATCGCTAATTCCGAAAGGTATCATTCCCCGGGTGCTGACTGCTGCCTCCACTCGAGCTCAGATGTTCCTCTGATGGACCTTCATTAAAAAGAATCAACTTGCCCCAGCTGGTTTGGCTCAGTGGATAGAGCGTCGGCCTGTGGACTCAAGGGTCCCAGGTTCGATTCCAGTCAAGGGCATGTACCTTGGTTGTGGACACATTCCCAGTGGGGAGTGTACAGGAGGCAGCTGGTCTATGTTTCTCTCTCATTGATGTTTCTAACTCTCTATCCTTCTCCTTTCCTCTCTCTAAACAATCAATAAAATATATATTTTTTTTTTTAAAAAAGAAGAATCAACTTAATTTAAAATAAACTTTGAATTTGCAAGACAAATTGTTATTTGTAGCAAATTAACTTTTTTTTCTTTTAACATAAAGGAAGTCCGTTTCCAGCTGCTGGGATGATTGGCAAAATGTCACAAAGAAAGGAATGAACATATTAAATGTGACAAAGTTTGATTTTAGATTCATCAACTAAAATGAATTTTATAATGTAAAATTCTTTTCTAATGGTTAACGTCATTTTTTCATCAAAGCTGCCCATCTGTCCCATGCTTTTCTTAATGCTCACTGCTTCTTCTTCTTTTTTTTTTTTTTTTAATTATTTATTGAATTGTAGGGAGAGAGGATTCTATTTTAAACAAAACTTTGTTCTTAATCCACAGGTCACAGTTTTTATCCACATGAACATACATGGCTTTGTTACGAAAAAGTAAGTTTAAAACTTTTGAAAATCATGATTAAAAGATATCTTGAGGACTGTTGTGATACTGGGTTTTGCCCTCCCCCCTCCCTTTTTTTATTTTCCTGAAATCTGCTTTGATTATTATTTAGGCAACTCCTGCCATCATCATCATCATTATCGTCGTTAAGCATGTTGGTCATTGGTGAACTTATTATGAGAGGGTTTACATGTTTCTATACAACTTGTAAATATTATTTTTGATCTAAATAAAGATTCATGTTCCCATCTAATTTAGCATTTGTAATTTTGTATTCTTATTCTTAAAGAGTTATCTCAAATTAATGATATAGTCTCAGATTCTATCAAAACCTGGGTTTGCCCCTGATTTTGGACCCAGTCGTTTGTGAATCTGGGAAGACACACAGTGACCTGATTGTGTCACTGTTATCCTCAGGGTAGAGTTGCCTGATGTAGCAAATGAAAAGTTAAGATACACCGTTTGATTTGACTTTCAGGTAAACTATGAGTAATTTTTAGTATAACTATATCCCAAATATTTCATGAGACGTATCTCTCTCTCTCTCTCTCTCTCTCTCTCTCTCTCTCTCTCTCTCTCTTTCTCTCTCTCTCTCTGTCTGTATTTTATCTGTTATCCTGGCATCAGCAATAGCAGCCATTGTTGAAAGGGTCAGATCGTAATGACATTGGGCCACTTCCCCAAACTGGCTGTGGCAGATAAATGTTCATCAGATGACTGATAAACCATAGAACTTTATCCCTTACCTTCTGCTTCTCTATAGTTTTGTTTTAAACCAAGTAGTATCTGGTTGAATCTGATAACCCAGAGCCAGAGAGGAGCTGTCTGTCAGCAAGGCAGCATCACTGAGCCTCCTGATGTAGCTCTGGGAGGCATCTCATTGTATGATTTCATGTGACTTAATGCTATGAGCACAACCTCCCCCATCATCTCTGGTAACAGCCAGTGGTACACGCTTCCTACTATGGCAACCCTGTTCGGCGTCACCGCACTTCTCAGGAGATGCCAGGGGCCCCTGTTCTGGAACAGAGGCTCCCGGAGGCTCAGAACTGGAGCACATGTAGGTGGGTCTTCTACCCTCTTACCCAAGGCAAACATTTTCTTTCTATTTTCTTTTTTTTTAATCCTCACAGGAGGATATTTTTCCACTGATTTTTTAGAGAGAGTGAAAGACAGAGAGATATCTCATTGTGAGAGAAACACATCGATTGGTTGCCTCCAGCATATGCCCTAAGCAGGGGTCTGGGCAGGGGAGAAGCCTGCAACTGGAATCAAACCTGAAACCCTTCTGTCCTCAGGCTCTATCCACTGAGCCAGACCAGCTTGGACGAGGTAAAATGTTTTCTGCATGTCATCCTTGACTGGTGGCTGAAGTATCTGAGAAGCAGTTGGGCTCCCATGGCCAAGAACATAAAATGAGTGCTGGCTCGTCACACATGTTATACAAACGTCGGCTGTTATTCTAAACAAAGTTCCTGCACAGAAAAGGCAACATCCTGTCGTCATTAAGGTGGTAGCCTCTGCCATCCCGCTCCCTGGGTTTATCCCTGGATCCTTCTTACACTGCACGTGCGTACCCTCGAGTATCAACAGTGTAGCAGGTTGCATCTTCCCTGCGCATGCCATCTGCTTAAAGAAGGCTCCCTGCCGAAACTGGTTTGGCTCAGTGGATAGAGCGTCAGTCTGCAGACTGAAAGGTCCCAGGTTCGATTCCGGTCAAGGGCATGTACCTTGGTTGCGGGCGCATCCCCAGTAGGGGGTGTGCAAAGGCAGCTGATCGATGTTTCTAACTCTCTATCCCTCTCTGTAAAAAAATCAATAAAATATATATTAAAAAAACAAAACCAAAAAACTCTGGTGCCATCATGCCTGTGTGTGTCATGGAAGGCAATTCCTTACATGGCGGTTCTGAATGTTTCCACAGCTCCAGCTCAAGAGGCTGAACTTGTCTCTCTTTTGTTTTTTTAATTTCAGTTAATCAGGTGCTGCTGTTCCTTCTGATTGTGACCCTCTGTGGGATTCTGTATAAGAAAGTTCACAAGGGGACTGTGCTCAAGAAGGAAGCAGGTATGCTAGGCGAAATAAGCCAGGCACAAAAAGGCAAGTCGTGGGTGATTCCTCTTATGTGAGGTTCTTACACCGCCAACATCCTAAGACAGAAAGTAGAATGCTGGTTGCCAGGGGCTGAGGGGAGGGGAAGGTGGGGAGTTATTGTTTAATGGGGAGAGTGTCAATTTGACAAGACAAGAGTTATGGGGATGGATGCTAGAGATGGCTGGACAACGGGATAAATGTATTTAATACCACTGAACTGTACATTTATAAATGGTTAAGATGGTAAATTTTATATTGTGTATTTTACCACAATTTACCCGCTAGAATATGGGTAAATCTCACAAACATTATGCTAAATGAAAGAAGCCAGACCCAAAATATCACACATTGTGTGATTCCATTTATACAAACGTTCTAGAAAAGGCAAATGTAGAGAGACAGAAAGCAGATGAGTAGCTGTCTAGGGCTAGGAGTGGGAGTGAGCTGACCTCAGACTGCCCCAAGGGAACATGTTGGGGTGATGGAAATGTTCTAAAATTGGATTGTGGTGATGGTTGCACAACTCTATACATTTACAAATAAATAAATAAATAAATAAATAAATAACTGAATGGTACACTCATAATAAGTAGATACAAAGAAATCTGTGTTAGTTTGGTAGGGCTGCCGAAACAAACTACCACAGACTAGGTGGCTTAAACAATGGATGTCTATTTTCTCACAATTCAGGAGGCTGGAAGTCCAAGATCAAGATGCTGGAAGGATTGGTGGGTCTTGAGGCCTCTCTGCTTGGCTTGCAGATAGCTCCCTTCTTGCTGTGTCCTCATCTGACCTTTTTCTGTACATGTGTCCTTAGTATCTCTTCCTCTTCTTTTAAGGATACCAGTCATATTGGATTAAGTGGCACCCCCACCCCATACCCTCCTCCCGCCGCCACTGACCTCATTTTAACTTCAATGCCTCTTTAAAGGGCCTATATCCAAATACTGTTACATTTTGAGGTACTAGAAATTTGAACTTCAACATATGAATTTTAGAGGTTCTAGACAAGTCAATATCTAAATTATCCTTCCCTAAAACTATTTTAAAAGAGAGAGAGGCTCTGGCCAGGTGGGTCAGTTGGTTGGAGTGTCCTCCCAATGTGCCAGGGTTGAACGCTTGATACCTCATCGGGTCAACTAATAAATGCATGAATGAGTGGAGCAACGCGTCAATCTCTCTCTCTCTCTCTCTCTCTCTCTCTCTCTCTCTCAAATAAATAAATAAATAATTTTTTTTTTTAAAGATAAAAGAATGGAGGTCATACAAGGTCAAATTGTCTGAACTTTGAGCTCTGTATTTCTCACTTTTCATTCCCTGCCCATAAACCAGCACATTTGATCAGCTAATCCCCATTGCAAATGCCTTTATTCATGGAATGAAATTATTAGCTTTTATAAAGTTGTTAAAGTACATATCCTGGCTGATTAATTAGCTAGATTTTTTTTCAATTTTAAAATTTTACATGTTTTTATTGATTTTAGAGAGAATGAGGAAGGGTGAGAGAGAGAGAAAGAGAGAGAGAGAGAGAGAGAGAGAGAGAGAGAGAGAGAAATACTGATAAGCAAAAAAATCAACCTGTTGCCTCCTGCAAGCCCTCTACTGGAGATTGAGCCCACAACCTGGGCATGTGCCCTGACCAGGAATTGAACCAGTGAACTCTCGGTGTATGGGATGCCCAACCAACTGAACCACACCAGCCAGGGCAATCAGCTATATATGATACAAGGATAGAACCAAAATCACAATTTTTATCCCATTCAGTGTTAAAATAAATCCAGTATTAAGAAATACCATTCAAAAGAATGCAATGTTGACATGGAATGATGTCCATGGTATGTTGAATGGAAAAAGAAAGTTGCAGAAGGCTATGAAAAGTATGATTTCATTTCAGTTTTAAAACAATACACTTGTTATCAGTATTTTATATGATAGCCAAGGCTCAAAAGAATGATAAATTATTGATTTTGTCTATCAGTCTTGCTTTTTACTTAACTTCTTTCTCTTTCTGTCAACTTTTGAGACACTTGACTAGAATGTGGATAAGGGAAGGAAGACCACAAGCAGTATATTTTATAGCAATATAGATGGGGAAAATATTCCAATTCAGGGGAGAAAGTTGAGGAATTGTTGAATTAAATGAAGCTTTTCAGTTCTTCACATATTTTTCAACTGTGTATGTGTTAGGCAAGCAGTCGCCATTCGGTGGTCTGCAGACCACTGGTGGTCCATGAGGTCAGAAAGGTTGGCGACTGTTATTCGATTGACTTCTCTAGGGAAGTTTAAAAAACCACACACACACAAAAAAAAACACCCACAATAAAACAAAACAAACAAACAAACAAAAAACAAAAATGACTAAAGCAAAATAGAAGTCTATTTTCCCTCTCAAGTGAAGTCTGATGTGTCACTTCCACAATCATCTAGCTCAAGATTCCTTCTATCTTAGGGTTTTGGTGTTTTCAATAGGCAGCTTCCATCTGTGGTCCAGGGTGGCTGCCTTCATAGCAACATTCCAGCCAAGGGTAAGGGAAACGGAGAGAAGGAGAGTGAGCAAGTTTCTTATAAAAGCAAACCCAGAGGAGGATCCAAGATGGCTGCTCGGGTAGACATCTAGCCGCGGCAGCACACAACAATTTCAATGGAATACAACTAAAATGTAGAGTGGACATTGCCCAGAGCTACAGGTAGTCGACTGACTGAAATTTCTACAACAAGAAGGAGAGAGAAAACCAGAAAGAAAATCAGAGGAGCTGAAAAAAAGCCTAAGGTACGGAGACATGCTGCGCGCGCCTGCCCGCCCGCACGCGCGCACGGAGAGGTCGCAGCCGGAGAGGAGGAGAGGGCGGGGAGCCGCCTTTCCTTCCCTAGCAGGAAGGAAATAAAACCTCCAGCCTGGGCTGAACCCCCGAACCGGCAGCGCTGAGCCCCCCCGAACCGGCAGCGCTGAGCCCCAGTTATGGGCCAGACCCTGGGGACCCAGGCTCCGGCGGGAGGAGACAGGGCCGTGAGGCGGAAAAACGGCGAAAGGCAGGGCCCTGGGAGTCGTGCGCAATGCGCGCAGAGGACTGAATGTTGACTTTGATGCTGGGTTACCCTAGCCGGTAGAAACAAGGCCTCCGGCGGCGCTGAGCCTCAGTCCGGACTGCTCCGAACCCCAGTTCTGGGCCAATCCCTGGGGACCCAGGCTCAGGCAGAGGGAGACGGGGCTGTGAGGTGGAGTCCGGGGAGAGCGGCGAAAGGCCGGGCCCCCGGGACTCGTGCAAACTGCGCGCAGAGGACAGTCTGTGGGACTCGCGCAAACTGCGCGCAGAGGACAGTCTGTTGACTCTGATGCTGGACTTCCCTAGCAGGAAAGAGAAAAAAAAAGCTCTAGGCTGGGGGAACGCGGAGGGGAGCGGAAGCCCCTGCCGGACTCCAGCCAACTGGGCACCAGCAAGGAGGCGGGCCACGGGGCCCCTGGGGGCGTGGGTGCCCCTGAGCCTTTGACCACTGAGCTCGGGCAATGGAGCCAAGGCCTGGGGCGCCGTCCCGGCAACAGGCTGAAGCAGCACAGGAGCCCGCGGAGAACAAAGGGGTGCCACAGGCCAACCTGCTGAGCTCCCAGGACAAGGAGGAAGAAACCAAAGAAGTTCTCAATGTGAAGAAATCAAGTGAGAGCAAAAAATAGTAAAATTACTTAAGAAAGAATACAAAGAAGTTCTTGAAAAAATCAAAGACTAAGTCAGAACTCAACTCACCAGCCAACATTGCAACATAAATGCGTTTTAAAAAGAAAAAAAAAGGGACAGAATGTTGGAACAGCAACGGCCAGACCTAGAGTGGCCAGGCACAAGGCAGTGGCATCCAGACCCGGAGCAGCAACGGCCAGGCCCCAGAACAACAGCAGCCAGAACCAGAGCATCAACAGCCAGCACTGGAGTAGCCAGACCTGGGGCAGTGGCAGCCAGGCATGAGGCGGAGGCGGCCAAGCCCAGGGTGGCCAGTCCAGGAACACCCAGACCCGGAGTGGCCGGGCCCGAAGAAGCCGGGCCCAGAGCAGCCGGGGTGGGAGCAGCCAGACCCAGAACAGCAGTAGCCAAGCCCAGAGCATCCAGGTCAGGAGTGGCCAGGCTCGGAGCGGCTGGGCCCGGGGCAGCCGGGCCCAGAGCAGCCGGGTCAGGTGCGGCCAGGCCCGGAGCAGCAGCTGCCAGGCTGGGAGCGGCCAGGCCCGGGGGAGCAGGCGGGTCGGGTGCGGCCAGGCCCGGAGCAGCGGCTGCCAGGCTGGGAGCGGCCAGGCCCGGGGGAGCAGGCGGGGCGGGTGCGGCCAGGCCCGGAGCAGCGGCTGCCAGGCTGGGAGCGGCCAGGCCCGGGGGAGCAGCCGGGTCGGGTGCGGCCAGGCCCAGAGCAGCGGCTGCCAGGCTGGGAGCGGCCAGGCCCGGGGGAGCAGGCGGGTCGGGTGCGGCCAGGCCCGGAGCAGCGGCTGCCAGGCTGGGAGCGGCCAGGCCCGGGGGAGCAGGCGGGGCTGGTGCGGCCAGGCCCGGAGCAGCGGCTGCCAGGCTGGGAGCGGCCAGGCCCGGGGGAGCAGCCGGGTCGGGTGCGGCCAGGCCCGGAGCAGCGGCTGCCAGGCTGGGAGCGGCCAGGCCCGGGGGAGCAGTCGGGGCTGGTGCGGCCAGGCCCGGAGCAGCGGCTGCCAGGCTGGGAGCGGCCAGGCCCGGGGGAGCAGGCGGGGCTGGTGCGGCCAGGCCCGGAGTAGCGGCTGCCAGGCTGGGAGCGGCCAGGCCCGGGGGAGCAGTCGGGTCGGGTGCGGCCAGGCCCGGAGCAGCGGCTGCCAGGCTGGGAGCGGCCAGGCCCGGGGGAGCAGGCTGGTCGGGTGTGGCCAGGCCCGGAGCAGCGGCTGCCAGGCTGGGAGCAGCAGCAGCCAAGTCCAGAGCAACTAGGTCGGTAGCGGCAGTGACCAGACCCGGAACAGCTGGTTGTGGAATGAACCAGAGCAACAGAGGCCAGGCCCTGAGCAGCCAGGCCCAGAACAGCTCGCTCCTTGCCTGCCCCTACCCCACGGCTGCTTCTCAGACATGGCTGGAAACTTTCGTGGGAACTTGAGGGTCTGCTGAATCAAGTGATGAAGGCTTAGATCTGGATGTGTTGAGTTAGTTCAGGACTGGGGTGTTGATCTGTGAGTGCCTTGGGTGGGGCCTGGATGAGGCTGGTTGACCTAGTGGGAAATGTCTTTTGTGTGAAGTGTATCATTGGGCATGTGGAGGTATTATTGATATGAGAAAATGTTAAGTAACTGATTTACTATCTGAAAAGGGATTTACTATTGGGGAAATTGAGGGAAGAAGAGACTGAACATAAACTGCACCTATGGATGAGGACAATGGGGGATGGGGGGGGGACGGAGGGTGGGGTGGGAACCTGGTGGAGGGGGGAAGAAATGAGGAACCTTTGTAATAATATGAACAATAAAGATTGATTTAAAAAAAAATAAATAAAAAAAAAATAAAAAAGATTTTAGCTAAAATGTAAAAAAAAAAAAAAAAAAAAAAAAAAAAAAAAAAAAAAAAAAGCAAACCCAGTAGTTGTACACATTACTAACATCCCACTAGTTGGAACCTGACGACACAGAGCTGCAAGGGAGTCTGGAAAATATTCTTAGCAGTTGGCCACGTGCCAGAGAAAATTCCAATGTTCTAAGGGAAGAAGGAAAGACTGGGTATTGGAGAGCAATCCACAGCCTCTTCCACACTCTGCTGTCTTCCCTCAGGGGTGGGGGAGACAAGTTTCACTGACTCAACTGTAAAATTCCTAGACACTGGTTTTGATGTTTCCAGATGATGACTCCGGGACTCCCGAGGAACTGGACGACGAGATCCCTGTGGTGATCTGCGCAGCAGCAGGGAGGATGGGGGCTGCGATGGCCGCCATCAACAGCATCTACAGCAATACGGACGCCAACATTTTGTTCTATGTAGTTGGGCTCCGGAACACTCTGTCTCGAATACGGCAAGTTGTATACTGTAGATGTTGGAGTTTTCTACTTCCTTTTGGTCTTCCTTGTTTTTCCTTAAATGGGTTTCCTTTATTTTCATTTGAGAAATGTCATTCAAATTAAGAAGGGGATTACCTCAGGTTTATTTGGTGACTTGATAAATGTGTTGCCTCACGAAGGAATTTCTAGCAAAGCCTCACTAATTCGGTAGGCCTGTGTGTCATGCTGCAGAATTGAATTGTCTAATGAACTAAAGAACCTCAATCCTTAAGCAGTTATAGGAGTCATTTTTTCTAAAATGGTTTCTCTTTTCTTTACTTTCTTAACCTGAGAGAATATTAGTATAATGCAGTCATTTTATTTTTATTATATATATATATATATATATATATATATATATATATATATATATATATATAATTGATTTTTTAGAGAGGAAGGAAGAGGGACAGAGAGCTAGAAATATCCATGAGAGGGAGTCATCGATCAGCTGCCTGTTACACACTTCCTACTGGGGATGTGCCCGCAACCAAGGTACATGCCCTTCTCCAGAATCAAACCTGGGACCCTTCAGTCCGCAGACCGACGCTCTATCCACTGAGCCAAACCGATTAGGGCTAATGCAGTCATTTTAATGTGGCTCATCACTAATTATAGTTTTTAAACTGCAAAGTGATATCTTTCGTGTCCCTCACCACACTAAGAAATAAATTGGAGTTGGATTGAGAAGGAATAGACAGAAAATTTTAAATCTATTATAAAAATGTAGAATAGCCCTAGCTGGTTTCTCTAAGTGGGTAGAGCATCAGCCCTTGGACTGAAGAGCCTCGGGTTCGATTTTGGTCAAGGGCACATTCCTCAGTTGCAGGCTTGATCCCAGGCCCCGGTTGGGGCATGTAGATGTATCTCTCTCACATCAATGATCTTCTCTCTTTCTCCCCCCTCCCTCCCACTCTCTGTAAAAGTCAATGGAACAATATCCTCAGGTAAGAATTAACAAAACATAAAGAAAAATATGGGAAAGATCTCCACATGTTAACAGTTACTATCTCTGGAGAGGATGGAATATTTGAGAAAACAGTGATGAAGGGAATTTCATGGTATCTCAAGTGTTACTCCCATTAGTTACAAGAAGAACGTATTTATAGATGGTTTTTATAACTGTGTTTGTGGGTAGTATCACCATTAGGAGATACTGAGACATGGTCTTAGTCTAAATGGTCCTTGGTTGCTATGGGTTTTGGGGGCTTATCTGTGTTTCCTAGGTTTGAATTTTTTTTTGTCTCATTTGTCACTCTTCTTATAATTTACTATTACAATCTAAGCTCACTTAGTCTACCCTTAGTTGTCTGTGGATATAGATAACAAACCCAAAGGTTGGCTTGTGTGATATGGTCTGAATAAGGGTCTGTATTTGAACGGTAGTTTTGAGCTTCAGGATTGTATGGCATATGAGCAGAGAATGATTCCCAGGTAACCACCCCTTATTTTAAAATATTTTAAAAACTCTTTCCATCGAAGTGTAACACAAATACAGGAAATTGTATAAACCCATGTACAGCTTAGTGAATTGTCACAAATGTATAATAGACACACCCCTGTAACAACTACCATAGCAACAATGTCTCATTGTGGCGTTCCCTTATTTCTAATGAGGTTGAGCACCTTTTCACACATTTCTTGGATGTTTAGCTATGCATGCCTGAGTCTCTTTTAAAAATATATATTTTATTGATTTTTTTACAGAGAGGAAGGGAGAAAGATAAAGAGTTAGAAACACTGAGAGAGAAATATCCATCAGCTGCCTCCTGCACACCCCCCTACTAGGGATGTGCCTGCAACCAAGGTACATGCCCTTGAGCGGAACCAAACCTGGAATCTTTCAGTCTGCATGCCAATGCTCTATCCACTGAGCCAAACCGGGATGGGCCCATGCCTGAGTCTCTTGCCAATTTTTCGGTTGGGCTGATTTTTTAATGGCATGACTGCCTTCCACCCACAGCTTTATTGAGAAATAATTGATATAATACATCGTGTAAATGGCTGATTTTTATGGTTCAAATTGTGCAGGTCTAAATTTTAGGAAGATTTAATTCCTTTGTTGATTTAAAAAATATTTTTATTGATTTCAGAGAGGAAGGGAGAGGGAGAGAGAGATGGAAACATCAATGATAGGAGAGAATCATTGATTTGTTGCCTCCTGCACACCCCACACTGGGGATTGAGCCTGCAACCTGGGCATGTGCCCTGACTGGGAATTGAATCTTGACCTCCTGGTTCAGAGGTTGAAGATCAACCACTGAACCATGCTGGCCAGGACCTCTGTCAATTTTTTTTTGGAGGGGGGATAATTTTTTTTCTTTCATAGTTTTTTTTTAAAATAAATTTTTATTGTTCATATTATTACAAATGTTCCTTCCCCACCCCCTTCCATTGCTCTCCTCAACCAGGTTCCCACCCCACCCTCTGCCCTTTCCCCACCCCCCATTGTCCTCATCCATAGGTGCACAGTTTATGTTCAGTCTCTTCCAACATCCCCCTCTCCCCTTTCCCCCAAGAATCGTCAGTTCACTCCCCTTCCATACCTCTGATTCTATTATATTCAACAGTTAATATTGTTCATCAGATTTTTTTTAAATTTCCTTGGTTTTTAGATTCACTTGTTGATAGTTACATATTTGTTGTTCATAATTTTTATCTTTATTTACTTTCTCTTCTGAAAGAACCCCCTTCAGCAATTCATATAATTCTGGTTTGGTGGTGATGAACTCCTTTAGCTTTTTTTTTTTTTTTTTATTAGTGAAGCTCTTTATCTGACCTTCGATTCTGGGTGATAGCTTTGCTGGATAGATTATCTTTGGCTGTAGGTTCTTACTATTCATCACCTTGAATATTTCTTGCCATTCCCTTCTGGCCTGCATGGCTTCTGTTGAGAAATCAGCTGACAATCGTATAGGTGCTCCTTTATAGGTAACTACCTGCTTTGCTCTTGCTGTTTTTAATATTCTCTCTTTGTCTTTTGCTCTTGGAATTTTAATTATAATGTGTCTTGGTGTGGTCCTCTTTGGATTCCTTTTGTTTGGAGTTCTGTGTGCTTCCTGGACTTGTAAGTCTAATTCTTTCACCAGGTGGAAGAAGTTTTCTGTCACTATTTCTTTCGTATATTTTTGATATCTTGCTCTCTCTCATCTTCTGGGACCCCCATAATTCTGATGTTGGTTCGCTTGAAGTTGTCCCAGAGGTTTCTTACATTATCTTCAATTTTCTGGATTCTCTTGCCTTCTAGCTTTTGTGGAGGAGTGTCTTCTGGCTCTTTATGTTTCAAATCTTTGACTTGATTCTTGCAATCTTCCATTCTGTTTTTAGGACTCTGTATAATATTTTTTATTTCAGACAATGTATTCTTTATTTCTTGTTGATCCCTTATCATTTCTTGTTGATTCCTTATTAATTCTAGTTGATCCCTTTTCATTTCCTCATAGGCCTTATCGATCTTTTCTAGGAAATTCTTGAAAAACTTTATAAGCATATATTTGAACTCTATATCCAGTCGCTTTTTGTCCTCCATTTCTTTTGTTTGTGATCTATTTCGTCTCGGCATTTTAGCAGCTTTCCTGAGGGGGCGGGGTTTCAGGGTGGAGCCTACAGCTTTGGCTTCCATCAGCCCCACCCTATGCTGTTCTTGAGTCTCAGGGTCCTTCAGTATTCATTGCAAGCACCTCTGAGAGAAAGGTGCCCTCGATTTTCGCCTGCTACCAAACAGTCTAGACTCTCCCCCAATGAGCCCAGAACTGGGGTTCAGTTCAGTTGGAAGTGGAGTTGGAGGTGGTGTTCAGAGCAGTCTGGAGCCCCTGTCTCCTTCCCGCCAGGGCAATCCCGCAGTACAACTAACCGTCCCTTCTCTGCACGCAATGTGCGTGCCTCTGGGACCTCCTTTCACCGCTCCCCCGGGGTCTGCCTTACAGCCCAGTGCCCTCTATTTGAGCCTGGGTCCCCGGGGTCTGGCCTAGAACTGGGGTTCAGAGCAGTCGGAACTGGGGCCCAGCACAGTTGGAGCTTTTATCTCCTTCCTGCTAGGGTACACCAGCCAGGCACTCAGCCTCCCTCCTCTCCGGCTCCGTCCTCTCAGCGCGCGCCATGTGTCTCCGTACCTTAGGCTTTTACAGCCCCTCCACCCTTCCTTCTGGGTTTCTCCTTGCTTCTCATTGTAGAATTTCCAGTCAGTCAACTTTCCTGTAGTTCTGGGTAATGTCCATCTTATATTTTAGTTGTATTTTATTGAAATTGTTGTGTGCGTCTGCGGCTAGGTGTTTACCTGTGCAGCCATCTTGGATTCTCCTCTCTGTCAATTTTTAATCAACAAGAAATACTACTGTGTGGCTTATGTGTTGGAAAATTTATTTTGAGATGATTTCTTACAAGAAATCTCATATGAGTTAGATTAAAAGATAGATATTCTGCTCTGGCCAGTGTGGCTCAATGGTTGAGTATTGACCTAGAAGCTAGGAAGTCCTGCTTCAATTCCTGGTCAGACCATATGCCTGGGTTGCAGGCTCAATCCCCAGTGTGGGGCATGCAGGGGGCAGCAGATCAATGATTCCTTCTCATCATTGATGTTTCCCTCTCCTTCTCCCTTTCTCTTTGAAATCAATAAATATGTATATATACTAGAAGCCCAGTGCATGAAACTTGTGCACTGGAGGGGTATTCCTCAGCCCAGCCTGCACCCTCTACAGTCTGGGACCCCTCGGACATCCAGCAGACGGACATCCCTCTCACAATATGGGACTGCTGGCTTCTAACTGCTCGCCTGCCTGCCTGCCTGATTGCCCCTAATCACTTCTGTGTGCCAGCCTGATCATCCCTACCTGCCCTCCCCTGCCAGCCTGATCGCCCTAACTGCCCTCTCCTGCTGGCCTGATCACCCACAACTGTCCTCCCCTGCTGGCCATCTTGTGGTGGCCAGCTTGTGATGATGTGTGGGTGGCCATCTTATGGCAGCCATCTTGTAATGATGTGAGGGCAAGATGCCACCTAGGCTTTTATTAGTACAGATTTTTAAAAAGATAGAAGTTCTGTAAGACTGAGAATATGTGAGAGGAGAAGGCAGGGAATGAGGAGGGATGGGGAAGACTGAGAGACAGAGTCAAAGAAACACAAGTAAATTCAAATGGCCCTGGAGTCAAAAGGGTAAAGGTGACCTCAGTCACTGCAGAAGGTTGGAATGTCCTGCTTCGCTTCATAACATTACAGGGTTGCTGACATGTGGCATGGGTGGTACTGACAACTAAAGATGCTGCTTTATAAGAAAGGGGAATGTTAGGTTCTTCCAGTTACCTGAGGAGAGGACATAGATCTGGGGAGATATTTGGTTATTGCTATTTTATTTTATTTCTTTTGCAGAAAAAGTTATGTGAATAACAATAATAATAATAATAATAATGGAAAGATTTAAACCAGACAAGATGGGGGGGGGGGGGATGGGAATTACAGACTAAACTCTACTAAGGTTACACATATTTTATTTTTTTAACTTTCTAGGGAGCCACTGGATTGAGGCGATAGTCAAATTGAGGGAAAATGGGATGTGTATATTAGAGGTTGTTTTGTTTGTTTGTTTTATCTCTTTAGAAAATGGATCGAACATTCTAAGTTGAGAGAAATAAACTTCAAAGTCGTGGAATTCAACCCTATGGTCCTCAAAGGGAAGATCCGACCAGACTCGGCGAGGCCGGAGCTGCTCCAGCCTGTGAGTAGGACTGTGGGTGCTGGGGGCGGTCCTCGGGGAGCCCCTGTTCCATATGGGGTGCTCCCCACTGGGATGCGGACGGAATAGTTCTGAAGCTCACAGTTGTTAGATCTTCGCCAAACTCTGCTTCTTTGTATTTGTAAATCACTTGCTCCAGAAAGGGTTTAAGATGGTTTACATCAACATAACAGAGTAGTGAAAGGAGAAATGAAGCATAAGAAAATATAGGATTTATTTATGTGTGTGAATATGCATGAGGGGGTGGGGGAAGGGGCCACATAGTGAGGCCAGGAAAAAATATTCCCAACCCCGCAGGCTGCTGTGATTGGATGTAACATTTATCTTGGAATATCCCAGCAACCAAGGAAAACTGGTAGCATGATGGATTATATACTTCCTAGTATCGACTAAGATCATATTTTCGAAAGACACCAGCTCTTTCCCTAGCTTTGGAATCGTAAGGTATTTTACTGCAAGAGTTCTTCCCAAAGGGACCAGAAAGAGTGGTGTTGATGGCAGAGTTACAGGAAATGTAACCACCTTCTACATATACTTGCTACTTAAACCCATCCCTGCAAATGTACTCAATTCTAAGCCCTCTGTCTAATGACACAATCTTCCCTCAATTCCAGATTTTTATTATTGGAGCCCCGGCTGAGCTGGGCCTTTGGATTAAGCTGGGTGGTGGCTAATAAAACTCCCACCCTCTACTGATGTTCCTCTATTTTCTGGTTCAAGGAGCTGAGGTTGAGCTTACTGTTGAGGATAATACCTGTGTGTGTGTGTATGTGTGTGTGTGCATATGTGCATGTGTGCCTGTGTTTGTGTGTGTGTGTATGTATGTGTGTGTGTGAGTCTGATTTAGTTCACTGTGAAGCCTACCGTGTTTCCCCGAAAATAAGACCTACTTATAGGTTTCCTTCTGAGTGAAATATAAGGCATCCCCCAAACATAAGCCCCCCCCCCCCCCCCCCAGGCTCTATCTCAGAATGCTATTGCTAAACATGAGAGATTTGGTCCACTGATTCTGAAAGAAATGGAGTCACAAGAAATTCACCAGGAAATTCAGGAATTGGATTGTTATGATGATGTTCCAGAAGATGATGACATGATTGTCATTGAATAAATGAGTAAATTCTTGATACTGTAGGATTCACAGTTTGTCTGGTTTGTGTTGACAACTACCGTACTACCGTACCGTATACAGGTAATAAATTTCCTTTATTTTCATTTAACAATAAATGTGTACCGTATTCTTCTTCATGGAAAAATAAGACATCCCCTGAAAATAAGACCTAGCGCATCTTTGGGAGCAAAAATTAATATAAGACGCTGTCTTATTTTGGGGGAAACAGGGTAGTAACCTCCAGCGTGGGTAAAAACTGCTGTTTAAAATTTAACCCTGCTATTCTGGCTTCTGTAAACGTATGCTTGCTTAAATAATAGGGAAAAATAAGACTACTCCCCATTCCAGAGAGGCCATAAACTATGCCCAGACAGAGTTGGCAGTGCTGACGCCAGGCCAGGCCTTGAGATATGGTCTCACGGCCTGTCCCAGCACACAGGACTTTTTCTCAGAAGGTCTGGAAGTCTCATTTGACAAAGAACTAAAAAATGTATAAATTTGGGAGACTTCTACCATATTTGGCCCCAGCATTTGAGAAGCAAGATTTTCCCCAGGCCCGCTTAGCGCTAGCGAAATGAGCAGGACTCCAAACAAACCTGGCTTATTGATGAAGGCGTCTTCTGGCTTACAATATAACAACAGTAGTCAAATTACTGAATGCAGAGGGAGACAGGCAATCTGTGGCCTGGAGATGCAGGAGGAAGCCTCTGCGAGCCCCACTGAACCCCAGCACCCTTGGGAGACACTGCGCCCTGCGCCTCCTCCCCACCCTCGCTTCTCTTGTCTCACAGCTGAACTTCGTTCGGTTCTATCTCCCTCTGCTGATCCACCAACACGAGAAAGTCATCTATTTGGACGACGATGTCATTGTCCAAGGTATAGTCGCTGACAGCCCGGGGCCCTGGGCAAAGGAGCCGGGATAAGTAGAATGCCTGTCTCTCTTCGTTTTCCAAGGAGTTAGCTGCCCAGTGATTTTTTCCCCCCTGCTTATTAAATTTGGGAGTATAGTATTGTGGCAAATTCAGGAATAAATCAGAGGTTGATACTCACTTCCCTGGACAGTCCAGTTGAGTTTTTGAAAGCCACTCACAGATGGTTAAAGATTGAGATAAGTAGGTTGGTTTTCTTTCCGTCCTCTGTACCCCTAAAAATGTATGGAGAGATCGTCTCACTGGTGACATTCTCAAAACTAAGTTTTAGTGATTACATGCAAATAAGACAGCCCTGGCCAGTAAGGCTCCGTGGGTTGAGCATCGTCCATGCGCTGGAAGATCACCAGTTTGGTGTTTTTGAGAGACAACTCATCAACGTTTCTTCTCACATCAATGTTTCTCTCTCTCTCCCTCTCCCTTCCTCTCTGTAAAACCAATTAAAAACATATTAGATGCGCATAAGATAAGCATCGGTGGGATACCTACGTAGCAACAGAAATAAAGACCGTTGTCCAATGCCCAGCTGAGCTTCTGATCAAGCGGCTTTCTACGCTGAGCTGAGCTGTTCTTATTCAGTAAATTGCCAAGCCACATGAAATCGGGGATCACGCACTTCTCCCCCACAGCAAAGCCAGGGATTGGGTTAAACTCTAAGGCTCTCTGCAGCCCTAACGCTGACGCCGCACTCTCTGAACTCCGGTGTTTATGACGCAGGTGACATCCAGGAGCTGTACGACACCACCTTGGCCCTGGGCCACGCTGCCGCCTTTTCTGATGACTGCGATTTGCCCTCGCTCCAGGACAGGCACAGGCTCGTGGGGCTGCAGGTGAGCACGCGTCTCAGAAACCCTGCCTTCACCCCTCCCCCTCCCCCAACTCAGCAGGAGCGCCAGCTGCACCTCGAGAGCCCCACCCTGTCTGGATTGCTGGAGGCAGAACCCAAGGGCCTGGGATGGACACCCAGCTCCACCCCGAGGTCACTCGGGGACAAGTTCCTGAACCCTGCAGAAACCACTTTTCTTATCTGAGACATGGCGACAATAATAGCCATGTTATCGTGTCTTTGTGAGCTGAGATGAAATAGCACCTCCGGTCTGCACCAGGAGTGGCAGTTATCTAGATCCCGCTTAACCTCCCTTTCTGTCCGAGGCAGTGTTTTCTGTGAAAGAGACTTGCTGAGTCTTTGGTTCTGCTTTCAGAGTTTATTGTTTTTTAAAAAATATACTTTATTGAGTTTTTTTACAGAGAGGAAGAGAGAGTTAGAAACACTGGTGAGAGAGAAACATCGGCCAGCTGCCTCCTGCACACCTCTTACTGGGGATGTGCCCACAGCCAAGGTACATGCCCTTGACAGGAATCGAACCTGGGACCCTTGAGTCCGCAGGCCAACACTCTATCCACTGAGCCAAACCGGTCAGGGCTTGCTTTCAGAGTTTTAGCCATTGCTTCCCCCTTCCCTCCCCCACCCCCACTCAGTAGAGGGAAATGCTGATTTTGTTCAAGGGTAAAGAGCTCTTTATCTGGGTGGAAATGAGAAAACGTGAACTTATACGTAATACTGAAACCAAAAGAATGGCTTTAAAATGCAAGGCGCTATTAAGAATCGGATGTTGTTCTTCAAAAAAATTCCAGGGAACAATTTTTAAATAATTTTTAATTTTTAATAATTTTTAAATGGCAGTCAAGAAGGGACATGCATTAAGGCCTAGGCTCTGAGGCCAGACCCGAACTGGTCAAGATCTCGGCTCCATCGCTTAAGCAGCTTGGGACAAGTTACTTAACCAATTGTTTTCTCCTTTATTTGTCAGATAGAGGGGGAGTCCCTGTGAGAATTGGGTTAGTGAACACACGTGAAGTGATGGCACACACTTAATGAGGTAATGCCAGCCAAAACCGGTTTGGCTCAGTGGATAGAGCGTCGGCCTGAGGACTCAAGGGTCCCGGGTTCGTTTTCTGTCAAGGGCATGTACCTTGGTTGCGGGCACATCCCCGGTAGGGGGTGTGCAAGAGGCAGCTGATCGATGTTTCTCTCTCATTGATGTTTCTAATTCTCTCTCCCTCTCTCTTCCTCTCCCCTCCTCAATAAAATATATATATATATTTTTAAAAATGAGGTAATGCCTGTGCAGTTCTTAGAACGGTGCCTGGCACACAGAAAGCGCTCGATGGAGTATGTCTGTTACTTCCGTGTCGTGTTTGAGCACTCCACTGAGGTAGATCACGGCAGCCCCTGTGTGTGAAACTTTATGTCCTGCCCGGTGTCATATTCATTCAGCTATGTACTGAGGGCTTCCTACGTGCCTGACACTTTTAGGTACTAATGACATTGCAAACAAAACGAAAATCCCTGCCTTCACAGAGCTTACATTCTTGTGGGAAGACCAGAAAGGTACTAACAGAGGATCCGGGTGGGGGTGGCCTGTATTTTCGGGTGATCATAGAAGGCTCCGCTGAGATGGTGTCGGGAACCTATACCTGAAAGAATGAAGGGAGCCACTGAAGCAGGGAGAACAACATTCCAAGACAATGTTGTTGGCAGGTGCAAAGGTCCTGAGGCAGGGGCATGTCTGGCGGATCTCAGAACGAGGCGGTCAAGCCGAAACCGGTTTGGCTCAGTGGATAGAGCATCGGCCTGCGGACTGAAGGGTCCCGGGTTTGATTCTGGTCAAGGGCATGCACCTTGGTTGTGGGCACATCCCCAGTGGGGAGTGTGCAAGAGGCAGCTGATCGATGATTCTCTCTCATTGATGTTTCTAACTCTCTATCCCTCTCTCTTCCTCTCTGTAAAAAATCAATAAAATTTATTAAAAAAAAGAAAAAAAAGAACAAGGAGGTCGATGTGGCAGAGGGTTTCAGAGGGGGAATAATGAACATTGGGGAGCAGATGGTGTCGGGCAGGGCAGGCCACTTTAGGAATCGTGGCTTTTACTTTGAAAGAGGTGGAAGGTGTTAGAGGAGCTTGGAGCAGATGAGTAACAGAGACAGCGTGGGGTTGAAAGGGGTGGGAGAAGCAGGAACACTGGTTAGGAGGAACTTGCAGAAATCCAGAGTGGCCATTATGGCCGGGACAGGGAAGGCAGCAGGAGAGGCAGCGGGATAGATTTTGGAAGATGGGACCAGCAGGATTTGCTGACAGATCTGGATGAAAAGTGAAGGAGGCGAGTCCAGGATGACCTACTGACTCTGGGTTTTCTGCCTAAGTTGCTAGAAAGACGGAGTTGCACTCACTGCGATAGGGCAGGTTGTAGGAAAGCACATTTGGGACAGGATGGGGATATCAGTGAAGCTGCCTCGAGCATCCAGAAGGAGACCCTGAGCTGGCAAATGGAGCAGGAGTGGGAAATCCAGGGGGGAGGTCAGGGCTAACTCCACAGAGGATATTTAGGACCACAAGATGGGCTGAGGCTGTCAGGGAGTCAGTGCTAGAGAAGGGACAGGTGCTGGAAATGAGACTGTGGGGGGGGACCCCAACTTTTAAAGGAAGCCAGAGGAAACCAGCAACAGGCGCTAGGAAGTGGCCAGTGACACAGGAGGAAAGCCAGGGACACCACACAATGGTTTCAAGAGAAATGACTGTTTCCAGATTGTTCTCCATGTGGCACGCCTAGACGCCTATCCTGTTCCTTCACAGAACACCTACATGGGCTTCCTGGACTACAGGAAGCAGGCCATAAAAGACCTCGGCATCAGCCCCAGCACCTGCTCCTTCAACCCGGGCGTGATTGTCGCCAACATGACGGAATGGAAGCACCAGCACATCACCAGACAGCTGGAGAGGTGGATGCAGAAAAATGTGGAGTATGTGCAGGTCTTACCCTCCCCCCTCCCACCTCCCCCACCCGCGCTCGGGAACCAAATTATACAACGAAGCTTCTATGCATAGCTCAGTGGTTAGATATATATTACTGTTAGACACCTTAGGTCAGGCTTTCTCACTGGGAAAGCCAAGGGGCAATATGTTCTCAAATGATATGTCAGAGGAAGCGAGATCCCGCGGAATCCTTATAATACAAACATTTCCCTAAGAAATTATTTAATAATGTGACTGTACATCTTCTCCCAGAATCCTACTGAACCTTTTCCACTGGAAATCACTTATTTTAGTCGAGTTCCTCCTTCTTACACAGATTTGGTTTTTTAAGGGTTATTTTATGAAGTCAACTTGGTTTCCGGGGGTTGAATTTTTTAAAATATAATTTCTCACGATTGAAGTCTTTTTTTTATATATATATAGTTTTATTGATTTTTTTCAGAGGAAGGGAGAGAGATAGAGGGCTAGAAACGTCAATGAGAGAGAAACATCGACCAGTTGCCTCCTGCACACCCCTACCGGGGATGTGCCCGCAACCAATGTACATGCCCTTGACCGGAATCGAACCTGGGACCTTTCAGTCCGCACACCAATGCTCTACCACTGAGCCAAACCGGTTTTGGCACGATTGAAGTCTTAAACAGAGAAGATTCATGCTAACACCATCACTATGATCATGTCATTGTATTTCCTTGCCTGCTTTTTTCCGGGATATTTTTAATTCCACCAGACCTTGAATTTGTGAACAAAGGCATTCTAAGTAATGGAGAATCAGAATGTGATCTTCTGTGTTTACCGTTAAGAAGTCTGAGAATTAAAATGGCAAAATATTAACCCTGTGACACTAGGTGAAGTACATGCATGCTCATGGTTTTCTGCTTATAATTTTGTGTAGGTTTAACCATTTTCAAAAGACAAGGTTGGAGGGAAGTGAAAGACTCTAGTCTTATTATACTGTGAGACTGTCCTGTATCTTTTAAAATTATTAGATTCTTCTTTATCTGAGTCTGTGGGGCTCCAGGCTTCAAATCTTTCTTTTCTCTTCATTTTCTCAGGGAAAATCTCTACAGCAGTTCCCTGGGGGGAGAGGTGGCCACGTCCCCAATGCTGATTGTGTTCCATGGCAAATACTCCACCATCAACCCGCTGTGGCACATACGACACCTGGGTGAGTCCCGTGGAGAGACAACGCAAATGTGCGCTTTAGAGATCTCTTGAGCATGAGGTTGGGGGAAGCGTGTTAGAGCACCGGCTTCCTCCATCACACCCTCCATGTGACCTTGGAGATGGCTTTGGACATGTTACTGAACCTTCATTGCTCAGATCTGCAAATGCAGCTGATAAAGATGGCCTGCCTGAGAGGTGTGTTTCTAGGAATTCTTGAAAAGCAATTAGATTCGTGCTTAGCATACACATGGTAGGTGCCAGATAAACATGAACTTTTATTAGAACTTTCACTGTCAATACTTTCTCATAACTTTTATTGAACTCTTTGAAAGTGACCTACAGTGGACAAAACCAAATGAATTAGCCTAATAGTTTATGATGCATTTATTTTTTAAAAATAAATTTTATTGATTTTAGAGAGGGAGAGATAGAAACATCAATGATGAGAGAGAATCATTGATTGGTTGCCTCCTGCATGCCCCACACTGGGGATCAAGCTCACAACCCGGGCATGTGCCCCTGGCCGGAACTGAACCTGGTACCCCTCAGTCCACAGGCTGATGCTCTATCCACTGAGCCAAACCAGCTAGGGCTATGATGCATTTATATAGCTGGCAGTGTATCTTCTGTTTTCCTCACCAGAGGATATGCTTTTTATTGATTTTAGAGAGAGGGAAGAAGGGAGACTGGGGGAAGGGGAGGACGGGGAAGAGAGAAAGAGAAGGGGGGAAGAGAGAAAGGGAGAGGGAAGAGAGAGACATCAATTGGCTGCCTCCCATACACCGCTTAACTGGGAATTGAACACAGAACCCAGGAATCGAACCCACCACCTCTTGGTATATAGGACAACGCTCCAACTGAGCCACACCGGCCAGGGTCGGCAATGTCTCTTTCAAAGAGAAGTTGTTTCCTGATTGTGTCCTATGTGTATTCACTCTTCACTACAGGAGTGCAAGCTCTAGGGTTTGGGTTGGGGTCCCAATTCTGCTATTACCTATGGCCCTGGGTAAGCTCTCATCTTCTCTGTGCCTTAGTTTCATTTGTAAATCAAAACTAATAGAACCTTACACAGTTTTTATAAGGAATAAATGACCTAACATATATAAATTGCTCAAAACGGAGCCAAGCACCGAGACATTCACTTTCACTCAAACACATGGCCACAACCTGTTAGCCAAAACCACTGAGCCGGACCTATTTAGAAATTGAGAAAGATTTTTGGACCCTAAAAAGGTAAAGTGATGCATATACTTATGTTATGCAGTTCCCTGAGTGGGATCTAGGTTTGGCTGCCACAGAAGTAATTAGAAATCCTTTGGTTTTCAGACATTTGGGGATTATTACAGACTTGGAGACAATGGATTATGGACATCTCTTTACCAAGTGCCCATTGCATTTCCAAGTTCTGGGCCTAGTTGCCATGATAAAAATGAGCATTGTTTCTAGTTTTGAGAACAATCCTCTAAAGTGGTTCCTTCCCTTACTCTTCCTTTTAGGACAGACAGACAAAACTGTGCAAGCTGGGTTCCTGTCTCCTCTTAGTGATTCCGTCTGGACGGCTTCTGCCTCATTCCCAGACTCTTCCCTGACTTTCCTAAGCCTCTGCCAGCACATAAAAGCGACACAGGGAGGCTAAGGACACTATTGTTCCGTCCGATTTGATTTATATTAATGCTGAGTTCACTGTTAGGTCAAATATCAACATTTCAATGTAATGAATGTGCAGAAAACCCCATTAACGTAGAATGTCTGTGAAAAATGCTGTGTAGGTACAGCTATGTGGAGCTGAGATCGATAAGGTCAGAGCATTTATGATCTTGGAACAGAGACTCCAAGAATTACATTTTATGAAATATCTAACTTACTGACGAGTAGAAAGCAGCAGAATCTTCCCAAGGGGAAGAAGTCATTTTTCTTGGTAGAAAGAAGTCATTTTTCTCCGTAGAGCGGAATCTAGTCTGTGCCAAAGGTTTTGGAATCAGGGATGGTCTGCCAAGTCAATCTATACAGTGGTCCTTTGAAATATACCTCGATGTGAGAATGCTCTGGAAGCAAAAAGCAATGGAATGCTAACAGCATTAAGTTTGGGTCTAAACAGGGAGGCTTAAAATATTAAAAATTTGCCCTAACCGGTTTGGCTCAGTGGATAGAGCGTTGGCCTGCACACTGAAGGGTCCCAGGTTTGATTCCGGTTGGGGGTATGTGCCTTGGTTGCGGGCACATCCCTAATAGGAGGTGTGCAGGAAGCAGCTGATCGATGTTTCTCTCTCAATGTTTCTCTCTATCCCTCTCCCTTCCTCTCTGTAAAAATATCAATAAAAAATATATTTAAAAAATATTAAACATTTATGAAACATGTTTGGCTAAAATCACAACTACAAGCCCCTCTGGTCTTCCCGTCAGAGTGCTGAGACATGACGTTCTACTTAGTGAGGCTTCTGGCGGGAAGGTCCCTCTTCCCAATGAGCATCTTACTGCCTCTGTATAGACTCCACAAAACTCTCCTTCCACCCACCCTCACAGCTGTGTTTATGAATAACAGAAGACAGGTTTTTGTTTTTGTCTCACACCATATGATAAACCAGAATAACAGACTTAACTATTCACCTTCTTTACTCAATGGACTGTTGTTTTTCAAAAATAGCAAATTCCCTTTCTTAGAAAAAACAACACGGTAGAGAATATTAAAAAAAAAAAAAAAAAACTTTCATCCTCAAGATTTTAATGTACTTTTGGAAGAAGTATTCTAAAAATATTAAAACAGCAGCAATATTAAAGTAAATGCATAGAGTCTCTAAGTGAATACTTATGAGGGAAATAATGTTCACATGGAGATAGGGGTTTGTTAAAAACTGGATCTTATTCTTGGTCACTTTTCATATAGTAAAAATGAGACTGTTTAGAAAAGAAAATCTTGTCATATTGTCGAATAATGTAGGAAGACAAGAACTCCTATAAACTCTAAGTGGGGGCCAAAACTGTTACAAGTTCTCCTGGGGACAATTGGCAATCTCTTATAAAAAGTTAAAAGGTGCCGGAACCGGTTTGGCTCAGTGGATAGAGCGTCGGCCTCTGGACTGAGGGGTCTGGGTTCAATTCTGGTCAAGGGCATGTACCTTGTTTGTGGGCACATCCCCAGGAGGGGGTGTGCAAGAGGCAGCTGATCAATGATTCTCTCATCAATGTTTCTAACTCTCTATTCCTCTCTCTTCCTCTCTGTAAAAAAAAATCAATTAAAAAAATATATAAATTAAAAGGCACACACCCTTCAATTTCTCAATTCCACCCATAAGATTCTTATCCTACAGACATACTATTTGTATACATGCATAAGACATGCATAGAAGACTGTCTGCTGTAGCATTGTTGATTTTAGTGAAGGGACAGAAACAGCCTAAATGTCCTTAATAAGAAACTCACTAAATAAGTAATCATAGATGCATTCTATGTAGTATTAAAAATAATTCAGGCCAAAACCGGTTTGGCTCAGTGGATAGAGCGTCAGCCTGTGGACTGAAAGGTCCTGGGTTCGATTCCGGTCAAGGGCATGTACCTTGGCTGCGGGCACGTCTCCAGTGGGGGGTGTGCAAGAGGCAGCTGATCGATGATTCTCTCTCATCGATGTTTCTAACTCTCTATCCCTCTCTCTTCTTCTCTGTAAGAAAATCAATAAAATATATTTTAAAAAAATAATAATTCAGCCCTGGCTGGTTTGGCTCAGTGGATAGAATATCGGCCTGCGGACTGAAGGGTCCCAGGTTCAATTGTGGTCAAGGGCACATGCCTGGGTTGCGGGCTTTTCCCCAGTGGGGGGATGTGCAAGAGGCAGCCGATCAATGGTTCTCTTTCATCATTGATGTTTCTCTCTCTCTCCCTTGCTTTCTGAAATCAATAAGAACATTTAAAAAGTAATAAAAATAATTCAGTAAATCAATGTGCATCTGTGGAAGGTTTCCTAGGTAATTTTAAAAGGCAAATTACAAATAAATTTTTAAAAATACATATATAATAATGCAATGATATGTATATATGCAAATACATACTACATACACATACACACATATTGGTGTACAGGTAGAATAGTTTTTCATGAGAACTTCAAACGATGGTCACTTTGTTATTATATTTTAGATATATTTTTATTAATTTCAGAGAAGAAGGGAGAGGAAGAGAGATAGAAACATCAATGATGAGAGAGAATCACTGATTGGCTGCCTCTTGCACCTTGACCCTGGGGATTGAGCCCGCAACCCAGGCATGTGCCCTGATGCGAACTCCTGGTTCATAGGCGGACGCTCAACCATTGAGCCACACCAGCCAGGCAAACCATGGTCATTTTAGAGATTTAGGGTGGGTAGTAAACTCTTCATTGTATACCCTTTAATTTTTTTAATAATGAACCTATATTCAACTTTTTATAAAATTTTATTTTCTAACAAGCCTATTCTTTTTCTCTAAAAAACAATGAAGGCTGGAGTCCAGATACCAGATATTCAGAGCATTTTCTGCAAGAAGCCAAACTACTCCACTGGAATGGAAGACATAAACCGTGGGACTTCCCCAGCGTTCACAATGACTTATGGGACAGCTGGTTTGTTCCTGACCCTGCAGGGATATTTAAACTCAGAAACCAAAACAGCTGACACTTTAAAAATTTTCTGGAATTGTCCATTTGCAACCCACTAACACATCATTCTTTATGAACAGTACCTTTGAAATATATGATCCACAATATGCAAAACAAAGACTGCTGTGTGCAAATACTACCTTGGATCACATAGGTATTACTTCCTTAAGTATGAGCGTTGAGGGTGGAAATGAAGATTATGTGAGTGAAATATATTGTTGGAAAGAAAAAAACCCCATGTAGGTTCTAGCAATCAATTTGCTTAACTCAGTGACAATTATATTGAAAAATTTTCAAGATTTCTACATGCATTTTTCACATGTAGGTATATTTTTTTTAACAGGTTGCCAGTCTTGTGTTTTGTATTACACTTAAAACATGAATGTCTGAAAAATAAAAGTCATAGATTTTTTTAATGATTCTCATTGTATATAGTATTCTACATGTTAAATGTAACAGAAGGTAAACTGATCTCAGGTTTAAAGGGTGAAAGAATACCAGTAAGTCTCGCTACAGAAAAGCCTGCAACTTAAGGATAATCATTCTTACGTTTTTTATTGTAAAAATCATTGGACTTTCAAATGAATTTAAAAACTTTTTCAGCATTTTTTAATGAAAAAGTCGCATATTATTATGTATAGAATATATCAACATTTACTACCGGCCATATTTAATGAAACACACCATTGCTGCACGCTTGCAAAGTCCTTAAACCCATTCTCTGGTAAGTGTCCATAATTTAAAAGGGTATTTTTCTCCACTTAAATTAAAAAAAAAAATCCATTGTAAGGCTACAAATTATTATATACCAAAGCAATACCTAGTTACATGCTTTACACAGTCCCATGAAAAAATAATTCAGTTGTTCCTAGTCCCTGATGCAAGGCACTTCAAAGCACCCGCACAAAACATCCATGTAAACAGCAGTACAGTACATGATTTAAATAACACGAGTGACTCTTACACAGCTTGATCCAGACCAAAGGAAAAATAAAATCCATCACAGCCAGCAGCTAAACAGCATGTTAAGATTCACAAGGATTTGTTTCTCTTACTATAAAAAAAAAAAGAATAGGGCATATAACCTTTTGGAAAAACAACACCTGTTGACAAATATTTTCATATTGAAAAGCATGCTCCGAGGGTGTAAGTGATCAAGGGGAGATGCAGAGAGCATTTCCAAACACCCCGGTTTACACCTGCCAGGCCTAGGGTCTGGGCTGTTTGTAGCACCTTGGAAAATGCATTAGAAAACCACAAAGGTACATTACTTAAAGACTAACCTTGTGTAAGGTTAACTCAGTCCACAGTCACAAAGAACAATGATGCAGAGAAAGAAGCTTGTAAATTACTAGCTTGTGAGATTTAACCAGCAAGAAAACTTGTCTGAATTATAGTAGTACATCTCATGTACGTAAAGCACCGGTTTAAAAAAGGTGACCAAACACCTCCAGCATCCTGCCACTCATCCTGAAAGTTCATTTCTCATCACTTGCCACGTGATACCCCGAAAGCCGAGGAAGATAAAATTCGAATGGGGATAGGTCTTGAAAGGGAAATTCAGTTCCTTCCCTATCGAGGGTATGTCTCTCAAGTAAAACACAGGCGAAGTAACAACATTTAAAAGGTCTACTGCATTCCCTGGAGCCCACCATCCCAGCAGAACAGCTTCTGCCTATGAGAGAATTAGCACACAGGGCGAGGAGGCCAGAGCCAGGGTTGAATGCCCTGTCACCTAAGGCCAGGCTGGTCTTGCGGCTGCAAGGCCACTCTCTATGTTTGTATTAGAAAGCAACACTCACAAACGATCGCCGCTGGTAAAGAGGTCTGAGTGCGAACCCAACCCCAGAGGCGTAACTTCACGTGAAAATCAACACATCTGCCTCTGTACCAGTGGCGATTCTTACTAACAGCAGAGCATGCCCTTCTTAGGCATAAAAGGGATACTGGTGTTTCTAGGTTTATGCACAGCGAATAATCAAATATAAATATTCAGACTGTTGCATTTTTCTTTTTTTTTTAAAATTACAGTTTAAAAGTGACTCCCAAAAGAAAATCTGTTTCTTCCTAAATGAAAAAGCCTTTATAAAATGCTGGAATGATGGGTCATTCGAATACAAAAACTCATGTACAAAAAAACCCTAAATGTTCCTTCCAAACTACCTAGGTTCATACAGTTGATTCTACCACACAACTGTACTATGGTTACATCACCAGAGGAAAGCACTAAGAAAATACTTCGGTTAGCAAACGGAGGGCCACTCCTTGACCACTGCAATAAAACTGCAGCATCTGAGCGGGGCTGAGAAGCACCATGCCTAAGCAAGGCTTCCTCCCTCCTGTTCTTGCATCCCACAGTGATTGCTGAAGGAAGGAATCTGGTCCGTAAACGACTGGCTCATCCACTGCCCGTTGGGAACGTCACTGAATGGCAGTTCTCCACAGTCAGCCGCTGGCGGGGAGGAGGCGGAGAGGGAGAATGTTAGTTTCTTACATTTAAAAGCTCTAAATGATCAAATTAGGGGATTTTAACTGTCCAGTGAATGAGAACTGTTATTAAAATAGTTAAGCGTCTTCCTCTTCCTTTTAAAAAATATATATGTATACATATATCCATACATATATGTGTGTGTGTGTGTGTGTGTGTGTGTGCGCGCGCGCATATATACACATATTATTGATTTCAGAGAAGAAGGGAGAGGGAGAGATAGAAACATAAATGAAGAGAGAGAATCTTTGATGGCTGTCTCCTGCATGCCCCCTACTGGGGATTGAGCCCACAACCCAGCCACATGCCCTTGACTAGGATGGAACCCGGGACCCGTCAGTCCACAGACTGACACTCTATCCACTGAGCCAAACCAGCTAGGGCAAGCAAGCTTCTTGAATACAGTATATTTCTGTTCTATTTTCAGATACCAGACTAATAAATCCTCATTTGTTATTCAAGGAGGAAAATGCAACTATGATGACTTACTGTAGTTGGTGACTTAAAGCAAAGGGGCCTGGATGTTTGCGTGAACATTAAATAACCATCATATTTTCTGTATGAATAACCAGATTTTTAAAAAATAATTCCCATTCAATAATTTGCTCTTTTTAAAAGAACTTCCTCTGCCCCCAATCCTGACAAAAGCAAGTTTTTGAGAGAATAAACATAGGGAGGGGACATACTCAGCCCATTTGAAGGGAAGCTGCAAGGTTCACCATTGCATGGATTTGCACCATAAGCACCACCATATGCTGCATCATATCCCGGATCATATTTTTCTTCCTTAACAGCCATCTTCTTTGCATCCTCTGTGGGGAGAATGGAGGAGATTTAAAGCTGATTTTGTACAACGCTCTTAAAAGATAGCTCTATTCAGAAATCATGAGGAAGAAATCTTTCTTGAATGTTCATGTATACTGAGACACATCTTTTGCTAAGTATAAGCTTTTGCATTCTTCATAACATATACTATATTAACTCATAAGAACTGTTACAGCCTAAATTTAATTTTGAGTGGGTTACAATGTTTTTTCTATCCTCAACATCTGTAAAAGCCCCAGAGTATGTGGAAGACCTTAGTAAAATGAGATTCCAACAGTGACTAACAGCCATTATCAGAGCAGTCTGGCTGTAAATATAACTGCTTTCTCCTCTCCTGCTTTTAAATCCACAACATGCTTTCTGGAGTATACGCAGACATGAAATGAAAACAAGGAGCAATAACGAGGACACACCTTGGGCAAGCTGCAGGTCAAATGTATATTGAACTTCCTGAACATCTGTGTTCCGTTCAATGCCTTTCAACTGATCTCGTAAATCCTTCAGCTTAATGTAGTAATGAACTTTGTCCTGGGCTCGGGGAAACTGAGCACACCTCGCACTGGATGACGGCATCACATAGCAGAGCTAGAATCATAAAATGTGATAGTTATAGCGATCTGTTCAATCCACTCCTAGGGAGATAGAACACGCATCTTTCTTTGGGTTCATGACTTGATAGGTATTACTTCAGCAGTATATGCAAAATCAATCAAAGTGGCTGTGTATTTCTTTGCGTAGCATACATGGCAATGGGTAGAACAAATTAAAAAAAGATCAACTAGCTGGAAGAAAAAAATCCGCATTGAGCTGATCTGCAAATATAATTTTAAGGACTTACAGTTTCTGTGTCTGGGATCTTGTGGGGTTGAAGTCCAAATTCTAAGTTTTTAACCTTTACTCCAAAAACTTCTTTACTAAAAATTTCATAAATGCCTGAAATGAAATGCAAACATATTTACATTGTCCATGATATTAGCAAAGAAAAAAAAGGTAAAATTTAAAAGCAAACCTTACATTTTCCATTAAACACTGCTATTCGTGGCTGATATTTCTGTAATTTCTGCACTAGAATACGTCCTCCTTCACGAAATTCTTTACTAAAATTAAAAAGTCATCATAATATAAGTAGGGCAATATTTATACTAAATTCAGATAGCTTTCAAAATAAGATCAATTCACATACTGTTTGCCAAGCTCAGCCTGAACTATGATAATCCTAGAATGTGTGAGGCACCAGCACGGCCAAGGTTCAGCCAATAAAAATAAATGTCATGTAATTACCTGGAAAGGTCCTTGCTGCCTGGGGTTGTCCTTTCCACCATATTGGTAAATCCAATACCATATTTTCCTGGTAAAGTGTGATCATCCATATGGTTCAGTTGGACCTCGCTCAGTCCTGACATAAACAGACACTTCCCTGTGAGAGAGTTTAGTTTATTTCCATAGCAGGTCAAAGGTTTCTGCCCTATGGGCTGATGTAGTAGTCTATTTTTTTTTTTAACTGTTCTGCTCTTTTATTTTTTTATAGTTGACAGTATCATAGATGTCCCCCATTTTCCCTGCTCCACCCAGTCCCCACCCCTCTCCAGGCTGTTCCCATATTACTGTTTGTCTCCTTGGGCTCTGCATATATACATATGTATTCTTTGATTAACCCCTTCCATACCCTTCCACCTTCCTCCCCTCTGAGATCTGTCCGTTACTTTACATACTATTCTTGAAATTTAAAAAAGTATATAACATAGATCAAAAAATGGATCAAGCAATTAACGTATGCTAGGTCCTATACTAAGCCTTTTGTATGTATTATCTCATTTAATTAACTTATGAGATATTACTATTATCATTTCCTTTTCATAGGGGGGGTTAAGATAAATGCCTGTCAAGAATCGAGTCAGTACAGGAAACTTTGAAACAGTTCTCCTTTCTAACCATTAATGATAACACCACCAGCCCGGGAACACCTCCAACAGGTAAACATACACTGCTGGGCTTGAAAGTGGAGAAAAAGTTCAAAATTCCCTAGGAAAAAACTTTTTAAATAATGGAGACAATATGCTATTCATTCCAAAAACACATTACTATCATTTGCCCTAAATATTCTTTAAAATATATTTTATTGTTTTTTTACAGAGAGGAAAGGAGAGGGAGAGAGAGCCAGAAACATTGATGAGAGAGAAACATTGATCAGCTGCCTCCTGCACACCCCCTACTGAGGATGTGCCTGCAACCAAGGTACATGCCCTTGATTGGAATCAAACCTGGGATCCTTCAGTCCACAGGCCGATGCTCTATCCACTGAGCCAAACCGGTCAGAGCTGCCCTAAATATTTTTAATGTTACTCTTAGATCATCAACTAGCATTTCCCGAAGGCCCACAGCATGCCTTGTTCCATTAGGCATGCTGGTAAGACAACTCATATACAGGACAATACAATAGTTATACGTGGTTTTAAAGCTCACTTGACAAGTATGAAGATCTTTAATACTATTTTCTGCTAGATATGGAGATTCTGAAGAGAATGTCTCCAATCACAGCACTTCTTAACTTGACTGCCAATGAGTAAGCATTTCATCTCTTCTGGAGATGTGATGGCGATCAGCAGAAATCTGCAAGGGTCAGTGTTGTCTGCACTGTCTCAGCGATGCACTATAGCTGCTATGTCAATAGGTGACATCTACAAAAATCCTTTAAAAAGGTAGTAACACTAATTTGAAACAATCCAAACCAAGGAGGAAGTACTCCTTTTCATCCTTCTCCACTCATGAAAACCAAGAGACATGTCATTCAAAATCTTCTTTGTGTACAGACACAGAAAACACACATGTATATTGACACATGTATACAATCTCTCTTATTAAAAATACAATTTGGTTTAAAAAATAGCGGAAACCAGTTTGGCTCAGTGGATAGAGCGTCAGCCTGCGGACTGAAAGGTCCCAGGTTCGATTCCGGTCAAGGGCTTGTACCTTGGTTGTGGGCACATCCCCAGAGGGGGTGTGTAAGAAGCAGCTGATGGATGTTTCTCTCTCATCGATGTTTCTAACTCTCCCTCTCTCTTTCTTCCTCTCTGTAAAAACTCAATAAAATATATTTTAAAAAAAGAAAAAAACAACAACCCAAACTATTAACACAGATATCTAGTTTAAAATTATAGTAATAATAAAATGAAAGTGATTACTTACAAAAATGGTTTCCAGGTCCAGGGTAATGATGCCCTTTGTAAGCAGCCATCAGTCCCGGGTTTATACCAATCTAAAAAAAAACGTTCATCCATTTTAGAAGTATGTAAGGGTGACATAGTGGTAGACAAAATTGAATTTATTAAAATAGAAGTATAATCTGACATCATAAGCAGTATCATTTATCAATGATCTGAACAAAGTACTCTTGATCTGAACAAAGTACTCCAGTCTGCGGAAAGAAATTTCCCTTTATATTAAAAGTTTTGCAGTTGTTTTTAAAAACCAGTTTGATTTCCTCACATCCCCAGGCCCCACCCCCACCCACTGGGCTGGAAAGAAAGAGGCGCTGGAGCCATCGGTCAGTCTGAGCCCTAGTCCAGCCACAAGCTCCCAGCAAGCAGCAGACTCCACAGCATCTGCACAGCTGTGTGCGTGCTGTTTCTTAGTTGCAGACAAAAAGCGAAGTTCAGAATCAGTGCTACCATTCAGGGGGAACTCACAGATCCCATGCAGTCTGCGTTACATGGATTATTTAACTTAACTGAAACCTATGAGAGAGGCATTATCATCACCCATTTCACAAGGAGGAAACAGGGGTTCAGGAAAGCTAAGACTTGTCGAGGGTCATACACATGTGGCAGGACTGGACTCCAGACAACCCTACGCTGGAGCCCACCCTCTCAGACACTCCCCAGTAACACGACCTCATGAAGGTGGCATCATGTACTAGCAAAGGATTCTTAGAAATGGCTCTTTTCAGCAAAATTACTTGCAAGGATAAAGGTTAAGTTCATCAACCTATCTTGAATATTATAAAAGGCCAGTGACTGTAAAGCTGCAATGACCAAACGACCGATCACCAGGAGATACATTGATGGGTCTCAGCACAGCGGGACTGAGTCTCGTGCGATTTCGCGTGCGGGGCCTCTAGTGCTATTTATAAAACTGAATGGGGACAGAAATCCTTACAATCACAATATCCAGATTGAAGGTCAAAATGTCCGGGAGCGTCTTGGTCAAAAGCTCAGCTTCTGAAACACCATTAAAACGGTCAACTTTTCTTTTCACTTTAAACGTGTCTGTAATCTTCTCTTGCTTTTCTTTTGATTTTGTGGACTTGGCAGACTTTTTGGTCTCGGCAGGTTTCTTGGCCTCGGCAGCCTTTTTGGTGTCGGCAGCCTTTTTGGCCTCGGCAGCCTTTTTGGCCTTGGCCGGTTTCTTGGGTTCCGCAGGTGTTTTTGGTTGTCTTGTTCTGGGTTTCCTTTTCCTTCCTTTGGGAGCCTCTGAAACACAATGATTTCCAGGATGTGATGCAGAAACCGCAATTGCAAAATCTAGGCAGTTTTCCCAGAAAAGCCACCCTATGCACATCTTTTTCCCCTTGCTCCCCAATCTCCCAGCCCCAGTCTCCTCTACAAGGTCTTCCCCTTGCTTCACCCTAGAACTGGGTTCATGTGGCCCCATCCATGACCCTCCCTCCTCTGCTAGCTGTTCTTGGGATGAAACCTCCGTCATAATCATCGACTGATTTTTTTTACACAATCTTACCTGGCACCTTGGCCTCCCCTTGGACACAAAGCATCTATATTCTATTTTATAGGAATTCTACACGTAAATACACAAATAGATAAGTAGGCAAATGACAGAAAAAGTACATAGCGAAACAGGGAGGAAGGGAAACAGTTTATCTCAATTTCCCCAGAATTCCAGCAGCAGAAAGCCTCAAAAGCAAGGCCTGTGGGCGTGTTTTAGGGATTCTGAGTGTCTGTTCCACACACACACGCCAAGAAGGGAACTCAGAGGTGCTGAGGATGAAACCTCTGGTTGGCAGTAGGAATCTGATCTCAGGAACTAATGCAGAGTTTCTCAGTCTTGGCACCACTGACATCTTAAGCTGAATAATTTTTGGTTGTGGGAGACTGTTCTGTACATTATAAAATGCTTAACTTTCTATATATTTTTTAAAAATACATATATTTTTTTATTGATTTCAGAGAGGGAAGAAGAGGGAAAGAGAGAAAGAGAGAGAAAAATCAATGATGAGAGAGAATCATTGATTGACCGCCTCCAACACACTCCCCACTGGGGTTCAAGTCTGCAATCCAGGCATGTGCTCTGATCAGGAATCAAACAGTGACCTCCTAGGTTCATAGGTCACTGCTCAACCTCTGAGTCACACAGGCTGGGCAACATTCTCTATTTAATAGCAGCCTTGGCTTCTGCCCACTAGATGCCAGTAGCATGCAGCCAGTCATGACAATCAAAGGTGCCTCCAGACAATACCAAATGCCCCTAGAGGGCAAAATCATCTTTGGTCACAAAGCACTGTCCAAAAATAACCATCAAGAAGCCTTGGTTTTCTAACCTTAGTTCTTTCACATCTCTCTTATAACTTCTCAGGCTCCTCCCCCATTCTACCACCATTTGGCATTTCTCCATCCTAGCCTCCCATCCTCCCTTTTTTCTATCTCACACTGCGTTAGCCACTCTTATGCCAAGCGGTCCACCTCCACTGGCTTGTCGCTGGGGAAGTCCCAGTGCTGCCTGCCCGGAAAAGCAGCGGTCAAGGGCAGGGGTATCCCCAACGCAGTGAAGGGAGACGTGTTCCTGGGATCATAACCTGGAACTCTGAGCACATTTCTCATATAATACAGCTTCCCGGGAGCTGTAGTCATTACCTTCTCTCCATCTCCCCACCCCCAAATCTGTTCTCCTTTCTTCCAATTCTCTATCTTGGTGAATGGTACCTCCTTCATCCAACTGCCTAGGAATTATTTCCAGATTCCTCTTCCTCCCTGTTTCCCCATGAAACCCATCTACCATGGCCAGGTAATTCCACCTCTGGGGTAGTTCTCAATTCTGTCCTTCTCCACCCCTTTATACTTCCTCCTCATTTTGGCCCCAGATTATTCAAAGGATCTCTAATTCACTCCTTGCCTCAAGTTCTGCTTGTTTTCTACCACCCAGTCTACCCTCTGGAATACTTCCAGGCTGATATACACAACTATCTGCCTACATTCTCTCAACTGCTCCCTGCTACTTTAAGGAACAGGATATACATCTTTAAGTTAAATAAGCCTCAATGCCCCCTATCCAGCCTCGTCTCTCACCATTTCTTTGCTATACCCAGACTCCAATGTCAGAACCACTGTGTTTTAACTATCGTGCTTCTTCTTGTCTGTGCTTTGTGCATGCTCCCCCACCCGAAACTTTCCAGTCCTTCCTTCCTGGGAATAGTCTCCTCACCTTGGAGTGCTGAGCCCTGGGAAGCTGCCTCTGAGCCTCAGTCTGATTAGGTGTCAATGCCATGAGCTCTCACAGCTTCCCACGTCGCTCTTCACTGCTCTGTGTGCTGAACCATGACGGGTGTTTACTTATTATTTTCCCCTACTACATTCTGAGATATTCCAGAGCAGAATCCATGTTCTTTTTAAAAAAAATATGTTTTATTGACTTCAGAGAGAGGAAGGGAGGGGAGAGGAGAGAGAGAGAGAGAGAGAGAAAGAGAGAGAGAGACAGAGAGAGAAAGAGAAATATCCATTGGCTGCTTCCCACACACCCTCCCTGGGGACAGAGCCTGCAACCCAGTATGTGCCCCAACCGGGTATTGAACTAGAAGCACTTTGGTGCAAGGGACCACACCCAATCGATAAAGCCGTATCAGCCAGGGCAGGATCCGTGTTCCCCCCTTCTCCCCCACAAACCTACAGTGCCTGGCAGATACTAAGTACCTAAAAAGTGGGTTAAATTTTTTCACACTAGCCCGGCTGGCATGGCTCAGTGGTTGAGTGCTGACCAATGAACCAGGAGGCCGCGGTTTGATTCGGGGTGAGGGCACATTCTCGGGTTGCGGGCTCGATCCCCAGTGAGAAGGGTGCAGGAGGCAGCCGATCAATGATTCTATCTCATCATTGATGTTTCTATCTCTCACTCTCCCTTCCTCTCTGAAATCAATAAAATTTTTTTTTTTTAAATTTTAACACTAAAATAGAACTAAAGCTCATCATTAAACTCTTTCTTAAATAAGTTGGCTAATCCAATAGCTACTTTTCTATACTCTCCCGGGGCAACTACCTTGTTCAGGTTCCTGAGCAGGAGCTGGCTCTGGAACTTCCGCTGGCGTCTGTGGTGTGTCCATAGCTTCCATGGCTGGAGCCTCGGCCATCATTTGTTGAAATGGAAACGTGTAAAAAGCTTGAGCTTGCTGAAGAGAATAGCTGAAAGAACAATTAAATTGAGATAAGAGGGTGAAATTACCCAAATGTAAATTTAAATGATCAGCTGTTAATAACTTTTCAGGACCCAAATATTTTGAAACCAGAATGTGGTATTTATTTGGAGTTGACAGTAAAGTGAGGACGAAGATCTAGTCTCGTATTACACACTCACCCAACCTTTACTAACCAACACTAATTCATCCTCACACTGTTTCATGGCAAGATGTGTCCTCAATACAACTTCCCAGTCTATCCAGTCAGCCTGCACTTTCCCTGAAATGACATCATGGGAATTGCTAGCAGGGAGACACAAAAGGCTCACATGCCCACACAGGAACACAAAAACCATTTGTGTTACTACCATCGGAAAGTATTGAATCATCTAACTTACCCTGTAATCCAACCCTCCCCCGGCCTAACTTTCCTCCCAATTTTGAGATAAAATTGACATATAACATTGTGTAAGTTATATGTTGATTTGATACACTTATATACAGGGTGGGGGAAAAGTAGGTTTGCCATTTGAGTACACAAAACAGTTTATTCTTGTATTATTATTTATTAACTAGAGGAGCCTCGGCCATCTACGAAATTCGTCGACAGGTAGGGGCCCTACACTTGGCCAGCAATCAGGGCCAATCGGGGCCTTACAGCTGCTGACCAGGGCCTTCCTTTGTTCCACACTGCCCCCTGGTGGTCAGTGTATGTCACAGTGAGCGAGTGAACTCCCGAGGGAATGCTTTGTATATTAGCCTTTTATATATATATAATCTATATATATATATATATAATCTATATATATATATATAGATTATTGTCTCACTTTATATATGAACAACTATAAACCTACTTTTGCTCCACCCTGCATTATACAGTGCTGACCACCATGGGACAGCCTGAGCTAACACCTCCATCATGTCACATAATTACCATATTTCTTTTCTGTAGTGAGAACATTTAAGATCTATTCTCTTAGGAACCTTCAAGTAAATAATAGCATGGTGATGCCATCCATCAGTCCCCAAAACTTGTTCACGTTTTCTTAAATTTACTGAATTTACATAGGTTTCAGGTACACAATTCTATAAGACAACATCTGAATGTTGTGTGTTCACCGCCCTAAGTCAAGTCTCCTTCTATTTATCCCTCTTTATCCTCTTCCACCTGGAAGCTTGTGCCCTTTGACCAGTATCTCCCCATTCCCACTTCTCTTCCAATCTAAAGTTCTCCTGGCTCCTTTGCCTATTTACGTATTCATCACTGGATCTGTTGTTGTTGTTTTTTTTAATTATATTTTATTGATTTTGTACAGAGAGGAAGGGAGAGAGATAGAGAGTCAGAAACATCGATGAGAGAGAGTCATCGATCAGCTGCCTCTTGCACACGCCCTACCGGGGATATGCCCTCAACCAAGGTACATGCCCCTGACCGGAATCGAATCTAGGACCCTTCAGTCCCCAAGCCGATACTCTATTCATTGAGCCAAACCGGTCTCGGCTGGATCTGTTTTTTAATTGTTGCTGGGTTTTTGCTTTTCTGTCACTAAATGAGGATTAGAAATCAATATTTTTGTCTATGAATTTATGGGGGGGAAAAACACTTTAGACCATGATTTAAGCTTTGTTCAATGTATTGTGTTCAATATCAGGGAGAGGCCTTCACAGAAAACAATTTCCCAAAAATATTCCTGATGGCCATAAGCCACTATCTAAGCTGCTGCATCAGCACAAAGCTAGGGAATTAAACACAATTTATGAAACCCAAGTTACACTACTGCCAAATAATGCCACAGGATATGCAGTAGGGGGAAAAACACTAGGAAATAAAGGGAATGGGTACTGTTTACTATGTTCTGGGGCAAGATACTCCTCTTATTAGATTTCTTTCTCTTTGCATGTGGAGAAAGAAGACAGGGAGCTCAGACAGCAGGAATTAAAAAGGCAAACTAGTACACTTTAAGCATGTCAACTTTATAGTGCCTAAATCATCTTACCTAATAGACAAACATGTAAATTGACCATACCTCCGCTACGCCCACGGCCAATCAGAGTGAGTATGCAAATTAGAAGGCCAACCATGGTGGCTGCCTGCTATGAGAGGGGGGTGGGGGGGCGAAGGGATGTACAGGAACAGAATGCCGCAGTGAACACTCTGGAGTCTGCAGCAAAGACGAGGACGGCAGACTCTGGCCAGAATGAAGTCCTGGGTCCCAGGTGCCAGAGGAAAACTGGTGCTGGAAGCCAGGGGAAGGAAGGCCTATTGCACGAATCTCTTCGTGCAACGGGCCTCTAGTATCTCAATAAAATGGTTGTAAAAGAAGGCCAACTGAAGTATCCCCCTGAAAAAGTGCAAAGGCTGAGACAGACACAAGGTAAGAGTCTACCCAGGGGTGGCCGGGCTAGAATGTTAGATTTGCAAAGAAAACAGGGGTTCAAACCACTGGGGAGGCATTTTAACATCAAGCTATCATTCAGGGTAAGTTGATTTTAAAAGGTTAAGAATCAGTGCCCTGGTCTGTGTGGCTCAGTTGGTTGAGATCATCCCCTGCACCAAGAGGTTGCAGGTTTAACTGCTGGTTCAATTCCTGGTCAGGACACATGCCAGGGATTGCAGGATCAATCCCCAATAAGGGGCATGCAGGAGGCAGCCGGTCAATGTTTTTCTGTCTCTCAAGAAAGAAAAAAAAAAAAATCACTAAAAACATATTTTAAAAAATAAATTAAAAGGTTAAAAATAAGAAAGATATAAACTACACCTTGAGAGTTTTATTTCTTTAAATATATTGTTCTCAAATTATGTAAAATAAATAAATGTGATACAATGACTTAGGAGGCATTAACATGAGACAATCCTATGCAGCTCCTAGAAAGTGTACTGATATTCTGTAAAAGACAGAAAACCTTTGATATATTTTAAAGTGGAAACGAATACACAATAGCATTGTAAACCAAGGCTGCACACAGGGAAACCATGAGGCCAAGGACTAGAAATTAAAACGTAAAAATGAAGAGAAGTGAAGTGTGCCCAGCACGAAGTAACACGTCCTCTCTTTTCATACTGTTAATGCTATTTGTAGCTCTTTTCTTAATTTGTCCAAACATTGGTTGTTCAATGTTTATAATTTAACGATTCTGATCAGGAGTAGGATAAGGCTGTTAACACTGCAAGATCCTGTGCAGTTTGCCCTCTGGAAATTCTAGTAAAAAGAACTGTAACTTTTGGCTGGGGCTAATGCCAGTTTCCGAGAGTCTAACAGCCGCTTTCGGTTAGAATCTGCAAAAGCAGAAACATGTGGTCACAGTGAGTGACTGGCCAAAGAACACACGAGGCCTGCTCTTGGTCATGTTGTCAGGAAGGCTCCCTCCCCCGCCCCTCCCCCATGTTTCTTGTTAGCACTCTCAGAGTTCAACAGATGCTGAGTACTTACAAAAAGCCAAACCTAAGCCCTAGCTGGGTAGCTCAGTTGGTTAGAGTGTCGTCCCAATACGCCAACGTTGCAAGTTCGATCCCCAGTCAGGGCACACACAAGAGCCATCTAATGAATGAATAAATAAGAAGTGGAACAGCAAAACTGATCTCTCTCTCTCTCTCTCTCTCTCTCTCTCCCTCCCTCCCTCCCTCCCTCCCTCCCTCCCTCTCCTTCCCTAAAGTAAATACATAAGCATTTTTAAAAGTAAAGAAAAACCAAACTTAAAGCATATAAAAATTAGAGAGACACCATTCACATTACAAAAGGGGTCTGAACCTTTAAAAAAAAAAATGTTTTCGTTGATTTTAGAGAGAAACATCAATCAGCTGACTCTTGTACCAGGAATCAAACCCACAACCTGGGCATGAGCCTGATAAGAAATTGAACCTTTTGGTACACAGGACAATGCTCACCGGCCAGCGCAAGGACTCCAAACTTTAAAAAATGATTTCTGAAATGTGGCTCCCTTAGCATACTTAAGGGGTCATGAAGGATCTTCAAAAATTCTGGGGCTCAGAAATGGAAAATTAATCATTTCAAAACCAGTTGGTTGAGTAAAAAAAGAAAAATATCTGGAGTTTTATTTTAGATATCAATTTTGAAAGAAATCTAGAAGTTTACCTAGAATACTGATGTGTCCGTAATCTTTTAAAAACTATCTCTGGCACTTTACAGTAAATTAAATTAGAACAGGAACAAACAAAACAAAAAGCTATGGAAAATAGAATGTGTAAGTTCTGAGGTAACACTACCGTTGAGTGTTCAATTTAGCCTGATCAACTTACAGCAGAACAAAAAGAAACAGGGTGGTTACAACATTCTTACTAGTTGGCAGAAGAAAGCATGACATCTGTACAGAAACCCTCATGAACTTGAATGCTAGGCAACTGAAGAGTTCTGGGTAATCTCATTTTCTTTTATGTAATAATATAAATTTATTTATTACAAATAAATTTGTAAGCAGCATTTCTTTTCTTTCTTTTTAAAAAAATATATTTTATTGATTTTTTTTTTTTTTACAGAGAAGAAGGGATAGAGATAATTAGAAACATCGATGAGAGAGAAACATCGATCAGCTGCCTCCTGCACACCTCCTATTGGGGATGTGCCCGCAACCAAGGTACATGCCCCTGACCGGAATTGAACCCAGGACCCTCAGTCTGCAGGCCGACACTATCCACTGAGCCAAACCGGTTTTGTCAACATAAGTTTCTTTCATCCTTAATGTAAAAGAACCTCTTAAATACATTTACTCTATTTGTATATGGTAATTGCATAACTCGGAATTCTGCAATATTTCTGAACGATAATTATTTCTGTACAAGGGGAAGAGCTACAAGAGAGCAGCTAGTCCAGTCATTCATCCTCGAGAGCTCCGCTGCCTCACCATGAAAATGAGGAGAGATTTGGTGACTCCTCCATACAGGGAGAATGCACAGAAAATAGGACTTAATCTGCCCAGATTCCAGACGCACCCCAAAGAGCTTTTATTTTCTGTAATTTCCTGACATCAAACTTATAAGTATGAATG